CTAAGGAAATCAACCTTTGGGAATAAGAGACCTTCCGACCTTCTCAAAACAACAAACAGCGATAACATCAGTGCCATTAATAAATTTCTTAAACTGTGTAACATCAAAGACATATAACACCACATCCAACTAAATAACCTTACTAAATATTTTCATTTCATAATCTTAGAATTAAGAGCCGAAGGCCCTGGCAGCCAGTGCTGATTCTTACAAGTGGATTGATTATTTATAATTAGTTCTCTTTTGAATAAAAAAAAAAAAAAAAAAATTAAGTCAACCTATGAGATTGGTACTGACATCCTTTATTCGTGTAACATTTCACAATATACATATGTACTTAAATAATTAATATATTAAACTTAAACTGTACCTTTACAAGTGGTATACAGAACTACAGAACTTGTTACTCGGCAGTTGATAATGATAAAGTGACCTAGAGGCTTCAGTGGTTTCATATAAATCTTAGTGCGACTTATACTACTGAGATGCTGGTTGTTTACTAATAAATAACTAGTTGGGTTGTTATTGTTTGTTGTACTGATAGTGCGCTTCTATTGTTCCAAGACAAAGTTCTTTTGATGATTTTTCTTTAAAGTTGTTCGTTTACTGAATCATAAGGCTGTTTTGATGTTTGTTTGTTTAGGATTGTTTGATGTAGTGATAAGTATCATGCTATACTTGTGGTTAGCTGTTGCTATGCTGAGTTGAGCAAGCCGCGACTAAATGTTAAAGTATTAACTAGCGCGCGACTTGGTTCTTGTAACCAGCATTAAAGCAACAACAATGTCGGGCTGGAAATCCAATGCAAAATAACTTATCCCAACAGTTGCTACATTCAACTGAGTAGGCAATTGAAAAGTAAAGTCCTCTCTCGACGAACAAAGCCCAAACTCTTGAAGTCACTCGTTATTCCCGTTATTGTTGTTTAAACGGAATATCTATGGCATGACTGATAACAACATCTGATAAGTCGACGTTACGAGTTTTCGAGAGAAATGTTCTGCGAGAGATTTATGGTCCTTTACGCGTTGGCCACGGCAAATATCGCATTCGATGGAACGCTGAGCTGTACGAGATATACGACGACATTAACATAGTTCAGCGAATTGAAAGACAGCGGCTGGAACACACTCCAGCTCTGAAAGTAGTCGACAGGACAGGACAGAATATACGACGAATTCGATGAACCCAATTTTCGAGTACTTTTTACACTAACTCCTTCAATATTGACTTCTAAAGCTTGAAGAGAGTCTGGTTCACAGGAACTGGTTTAATGGTTCTTGAATTAATCGAATCTCCATATGTTTTTTTGCAATAATTCGTTTTTTTCTCGTTCCGTGCCTCACGTAGCCTTGATCTGTGAGAATCAGATGTTGTCAAGATCAACTTCTTCCAATTGCGGCCACAAAAAATTTAATATCATTAATCTATACCGCTATAAACGACACTTTGAAATCATCAGACTTTTTTATTGAAAGCTTCTTGTTCTTGCCTCGTTATATTTAGTCAATTTATCTACTTACCATAAATATACACACATATATGTATTGCCATTGAAAGTGCTTCACCATGAATATTAGTTTGTATATGTAACAAATAATTTTATACATAAATATATTTACAGATATGACACCGTATTCTACTTCGTAAGTTCGACAAAAAAGCCGACAGTACTTCTGGAACACAGTGAAGTCAAAAGAACTATGGTTAGTTTTTGAGAATAATATATGCTATGTACGCACACGATTGTTTATTATATACTATTATGAAGGTGAAAGTCTGTGAGTGTGTATGTTTGTTACTTCTTCGCTACTAAATGGCTAGAACGATTTTAATTTAATTTGGTATGGAATTAGCTGACACTCTGAATTAGTAGATATGTTACATTTGACTACGAGAAAATATCTTATTTCTATGTGAAAATCGATGAAAATGAATGGGCGGATAATGTAAGGGGGAACTAAACTTTTTCTATTAAAACACGATACAATTCGTTTGTACACTCTTCGATCAATAGGTGATAACCTACATGTCAATAGTCACGGTGACGATAACTGGCGACGCATCTATATACCCTATAGAATTCTTAAATTTCCTCGCCCTGTCAGGGGTACCCTCCCACAAGTTGAAACTCAAAGTTAATGTGCCTGTCATAATCATGCGTTACTTGAACTGGACCAAACTGTGCAACGGGACTAGGTTACGTATAACAGAGCTGAGGCGGCGCATCTTCCAGGCCACCATTCTTACTGGAGGTACTAAAGCCGAGACGATGTCGATACCCAGAATCTCTGTAACTCCTACAAACTTCTCAATGTCTGGTTAGCAACCATTTATTTCTTTTCTGGTTAATTTTACCGACATATGGTTGCTAAAGAGACATTGAGAAAACGACTCCTAAATTGTTTTGGCTTTTTGTGTACGAGACATAAAAAAAAAGAAAATTGAACGTGTGTTGGCACAAACCAAAATGAATTTCAACAGCATAGATTTTCCTTTATTTTTCTTTCCATACTTTCCAATTACCAGACTTACTTTCTTCTTCTTTATTGGCGTCGTCACCGCTTACGCGATTATTTTCGCAACGTGGCACCTATTAGAGATTCCAAACGAAACCATGTCCTTCCCCACTTGGTCTTTCCAAAGGAGTGGAGGTCTTCCTCTTCCTGTGCTTCCGCCGGCGGGGTTTTCGTCGAATACTTTCAGACCTCGATTAAGATCTGCTGCTCGAATTCTTTTCTGCAGAAATAGATTGAAGAAGTCACACGATCGAACCCCGTTTCGTATCGAGCGGTTTGGAGAGGTCTTCCCGATCCTGACGGAGCTTTTGGTATTGCTCAACGTCAGTTACCGAGTTGTTGACGAGTGCTCTCAGAAAGCAGGTGTGCAAGTCAAGTAGAAAATCATTAGGCTGTCTTTGTGTGTGCAGCTCCGTGGAGGCTGAACTTACCGACTATTATGCAAAAGATACCTTTCTTGCTTCAAGCGGTCATAGAAGGCATCATTGGTCACATCGTCCTTCTCTTCCGTTGGCAGACAGTACTTGACGACGAAGTCTCTCTCCCACCACGAATCTCACATCGAATTTGCGCTCCTTTATATGGCCACTGTAGTAAATGCCACAAGGACCGACTAGCCTCAACCCTTGTCCCGTTCATCGCATTTGATGTGATGTCAGCCTTTACTCTAGCGAATACATCAATCAGTTAGGCAGCGGCACCTTCCCTGTTAAGGCATCAGAAATTCCAGATGCATGCTTTCAAATCGTAATCCCTAATTCGATTGGCAGGGTCGTCATTAAAAAGGGGCTCTCTCATCCGAGGCCGTCGATTAGTGTTCATTGGTAGTGTTTTTTACGTGGCGAAACCCAAACCCTGCGCACAGCCCTATGGAGAGGATGTTTCGCCTTCAAACGGATGTTTGTGGCTACTCTGAGGATACTTTGTTTAAGACATGAAGTCGTGGGCTGCAACACATGACCCGCACATTTCCACATGGTAACAGTGACATCACATAAATCAGATATATCTGAATTTCATAAACATTTTTCACAGATTGACCGATAATTTCTGTTCTGTTAGTATATGCAGTGAGGTCGACATATCGATATCTGGGAATTTTAAAAGTAATGGTCCGATTTCGAAGACATGAGATGGCTTATATTGATTTACTTATGTATATACATATCATGTTGTTATAATTAATATAAAGTGCTAAACTACATTATGGTTATGGGGTTACATTTTTCTGCATGTTTTTCTCATAAAAAAATTAAATATTTTATTAGAATGTTTTATTGTTACAAACATACACTATTTATTACAAAGAAATTCTGAAATTGTTGGACAGAAATAGTTTAAACTCGGCCATTGCGACGCAATTTCCGGTGATTTCTCGAAAAAAGAGGATACCGTGTTGGCAGGATAACTCCTTATATATCTAAAGTGAAAAAATACGTGTTATAGTTAAAATCTTAACTTAGAACTTGAACGAAGGAAAAAAGAACTGAAAAGCAAAGAAAAAATCCAAAAATCTAAGCCTTCGAGAATTGTATCTCAAAGACCTGTGTAAAATTTCATGAAAATCTTGTCAACCGACTTCAAAAACATTTTTTCGAAGAAAAAAACCCGAGTTACATATATTGTAATATTCACCCTATTATTTTTTTACATTACTTTTTGTACCTTACTTTTATCTCTCCTTTCAAGTAATATAATATATATATGTAACTTTAAAATTAATTCTGGAATTAAGTACTCTCATTTTTAGTTTATTTACGGTTATATATTTCTATTCTTATTCGTTACTCATAATCTCATTCTTGTTTGTTAAAATTTGAACATTCTCAATCAATTTTGTAAATTGTTAATTTATATATGTATATATTGGTAAAATATAAAATCGTGTTTGATTTAAACATTATTATAATTGGCGCAGTCTCTTAAAAAAGAACCCATGTGTATTCAAAAGTAAATTAACTCAAGTTAAAATTCGAAGTAAAGACATTAGTAAATAATTTAGCCAAAGTTAAATTGAAATAAAAAACTATTGTACAGTTTTGTGGCATTAGTATATATATACATACATAAATATATGTAAAAGTGCTATTTCCCGGTGAGAGAGTTAAGCTAGCGGATTTGGGAAAATACTGCCAACAAAAACAGCAAAATATTGGAATTAGCAGTGCATCATGGCATTGTAGCTAACTGTGACGAGATGCTCAATCAATTGTCATATTTAAAGGCGACAATACATATGCGTTGCCATCATTTATAAAAGAGATGGAGTTAATACAAACTCTAGTGAGAGAGCAACCAACCTACTCTCCAAACGTACATATATGAACGTGTAATTCTCAATAAATTACATGGTCCTGCTCTTCGCATTTTACGAACGCTGTGTGCATCGCCAACGTGGGAGTGTGTGAAACGAGCGCTAATAAAAAACTTTGGAGTGAAGGAGACATATGAAGAGCTATTTAAATGTGCACATGCAATTATCAACACATATTTGTTGTATTACAAGAAAATGATTTAATTCGTACTGCAAATAAAACTAATTTAAGAGTAAGATATATCTATATATTATCTGATAAGTTTAAAACTAATCAGTGTAACCAAATTTTTCAATATCCTAATCCAAAGATTCCTTGCAATTTTCTAACACAAAATCAAGTTTATTATAAACAACCTTCTCAAACATTTAATAATAAAAATTCGAATAGGCATAAAAAGTTTCGAAGATTTTCAAACTCTTGTGCTTTTTTAAAACAACTCTCTCAAATGAGAAAATAATGGTATTTTTCGGAATAATAATGCACAAACTCTCTCCGCTCAATTTCGCAATAGAAACAATGACGTGAATAACATGTCACCTATGGAAGTAGATCATGCTCAGTGTTCATCTTGGGTTCCCGATAATGATGACAATTTGAATTTTTTTTACAATAGCCTCAAGAAATCATTACCGTTAGTAGAATGAACTCTTGATAACGAAAAAATTTAAGCATTGGTAGGTACTGGTGCAACACTATCGCTACTTTAAGCAAATAAATACATTTAAAAAAATAATACAACTTATACAAAACATTTGCCTTAATTCATTGAATAGTACTTATATTACAGAAGAAATAATCACAAATGTTCCTTTTGAATTTAATGAAACGCAACAATGACTTGGAAACTAGTAGATTTTAAGGGTAAATATTTCAATGCAATTATTGGACAGAATATACTGACTCCAATACGTAGTGTTATTGATATGTACAATCGAACCGTTAGGTTTAATGTTAATACAATATTTTTTTTTTCAACCATTCATTTTTAGCGAAATTCATATCTTAGATCAAATCAATGTGGATAAGCAAGTCCTTGACAATTTATTTCGGCTTACGCAAACAAGAAAAATCAAAAAAAAAATCTGAATAAGTATAAAGACCTAATTTACTTAGAAGGACAGACTCTAACAAATACTAATATAATAAATCATGAAATAAAAACTGTATCAGCCAGGCCGGTATATTCGAAAATATATCGTTATTCCCAGATACACTAATAATAAATATGTAGGCAAATCGACGACATGCTTAAACAAAGTATAATCCGAGAAAGTAATTCACCATACAATAGTCCCTTATGGGTTATTTCTAAGAAATTAGACTGCTCAGGTGAAAAGAAATGGAGGCTTGTTGTCGACTACAGGGCATTAAATAATATTACAATCGATGATAAATACCCCATATTTTCAATATTTGGTATAAACTAGGTCGAGCACAATATTTCACTACAATTGATTTGGCAAAGGGTTTCACCAAATTCTTGTTAAACAAAAAGACCGGTCGAAAACTGCCTTTTCTCCTCAATATGGACATTTCAAGTTCAACCGAATGGCATTTGGACTAAAAAACGCGCCTGCCACATTTCAAAGATTTATCAATAAACTACTGAAAGATTTTATTAATAAAATATGTGTAGTCTATTTAGACGATATTTTGATAATCTCTACAAATCTTCAAGAGCACTTTAATGATATAAACTGAGTTCTAACGAAACTGCGTGAGGGAAATTTTAAGATCTAAATAAATAAATGCAAGTTCTTTTCAAAAGAAACTKTGTACTTAGGTCATATATTAACCCCTGAAGTAGTTAGGCCAAATACTAGTAAAATCGATCAAATTGGAATTGCCAAAATTTGTGAAACAGATTAA